GAACTGATTATGAACAAATATGCAGCAGGTCTCTTGAACTTTGCTCATATGCTCAGTTTGTTTCACAAGCAGCTAACATTAAAATATATATGAACATCTGCAACGTAAGCAAAGAGTATCAGCAACTAAAGATTTATGGAGCCGACGTCTCTCTCTCTCTCTCTCTCTCTCTCTCTCTCTCTCTATCTATCTCTCTCTCTCTCTCTGTCTCTCTCACATACGCACGCACGCAATCGCACACATACAAGGTAGAAAAGAGCAAGCACCCACCTCTGCAACAGGCTGAGCCCATAGTGGCCTGTGGGAGATCCAGGAAGAAAAACATCCCATCCCAACATACATCAGTGGAGCAAAGACGTCCAAACAATGACTGAACACCTTTGCAAAAATTCAAACATTTGTGTGCTACAAAGAGAGAGGGAGTTTGCATTGTTGTTGTGTTTGAAGATAATCCTGCATTACGTTTCATTTTCCACTCCAATTTGACCAGGTCAGTGCTTACTGATTCTGCGTTCTGATGAATGTTCTGATGAATGGTGTCCATGAGAAGAGACATTTGCAGGATTGGGTTTTTAGATTAGATTCATTTTTGTCTCGCTCATCATTCATTTCCCACTCAAATGCATCTTTTTCTCCTTCCTTAATAAATTCATTTGCTTTTTCATCTTTTCTCATTTTCTCTGAGGCCCTGTAATCCCCTCTGTGCTCTACAACCTCGTGTCCTGTGCTGAGCCACAATCCAAAACGCTTGGTGTATTTCACCAGTAATATTACATTTATCTACTGCACATATTTGAATAAACCTGGAAGTTTCGGCAGATCAATGCTCGTAAGTAAATGCATCTATAGGTCCTTCTAAACAAAATTTGCATATTGTGATAAAGTTAATTATTTTCTGTAATGTACTGATAAAGATTAGACTTTCATATATTTTAGATTCATTAAACACAACTGAAGTAGTTCAAGGCTTTTATTGTTTTAATACAAGCCTCAGATTCCGGAGGAGCAGTGTGGTTTTTGTCCCGGCCGTGGAACAGTGGACCAGCTCGACACCCTTAGCAGGGTCCTCAAGGGTACACGGGAACTCGCCCAACCAGTCTACACGTGCTTTGTGGATTTGGAGAAGGCGTTCGACCGAGTCCCTCGAGGAGTTGAGTGGAGGGGGTGCTTCGGGAGTATGGGGTACCGAACGCCCTGATGTTCGGTCGGGCTGTTCGGTCCCTATACCACCGATGTCAGAGTTTGGTTCGCATTGTGGGAATCGTTTCTAGTGAGGGTTGGACTCTGCCATCGCTGCCCTTTGTCGCCGATTCTGTTCATAACCTTTATGGACAGAATTTCTAGGCGCAGCCGAGGTGTTGAGTGGGTCCGGTTTGATGGCCTCAGTGTTACGTCTCTGCTTTTCGCAGATGATGTGGTACTGTTGGCTCCTTCAAGCAGGGCTCTCCAACTCTCACTGGAGCGTTTCACAGCCGAGTGTGAAGCGGTTGGGATGAAAATCATCACCTCCAAATCTGAAACAATGGTCCTCAGTCGGAAAAGGTTGGAGTGCCCTGTCCGGGTCGGGGGGAAGATCTTGCCCCAAGTGGAGGAGTTTAAGTATCTTGGGGTCTTGTTCGCGAGTGAGGACAGGAGGGTCGGTGCAGCGTTTGCTGTGATGCAGACTCTGTATCGGTCCGTCGTGGTGAAGAAGGAGCTGAGCTCAAAGGTGAAGCTCTCAATTTGCCGGTCGATCAATGTTCCAACCCTCACTTATGGTCACGAGCTATGGGTCATGACCGAAAGAACGAGATCCCGGTTACAAGCAGCCGAAATGAGTTTTCTCTGCATGGTGTCCAGGCTCTCCCTTAGAGATAAGGTGAGATGATTGGTCATCCGGGAGGGGCTCAGAGTCGAGTCGCTTCTCCCCCACGTCACGAGGAGCCAGTTGAGGTGGCTCAGGCATCTGATAAGGATGCCTCCTGGGCGCCTCCCTGTTGAGGTGTTTCGGGCATGTCCCACCAGCAGGAGACCCCGGGGACGACCGAGGACACGCAGGAGAGACTATGTCTCCCAGCTGGCATGGGAACGCCTCGGGATTCCCCGGGAAGAGCTGGAAGAAGTGGCTGGGGAGAGGGAAGTCTGGGCTTCCCTGCTAAAGCTGCTGCCCCCGTGACCCATCCCCGGATAAGCGGTAGAAAATGGACGGATGAATGGATGAACGCTTTGGACATTGCTGTTTAGACACTTGTACCAAAGAACGGGTGGTAATCATTGCTTATAGTCTGCATATGTAATAAAATGTCAAATGTAGAACACATGGCCACAGAGTGATCAATCAGCTACTATTGATCGCCTTCAACGATCACACATTTTTTTTCATGAATAATGATCGTCCACCGATCAATTGGAGCATCCCAACTCATAGGTTTAATAATTACATTTATCGCAGCAGTAATTTCAATATAATATACCATATTTGTGTGAAATATTTCTCATTCCATCCCCCTCTCATTTCTGGTAAGCTCCCATATTGTACCGTATGTACTGTATAAAGAGTCTGATTGGGTTCAAAAGGCGACATGAGGATAAATGAAGCTGGAGGTTAAGCTTGTTCATTAATTTGAGATTGCACTTGGGGTCACTCAGGAACACTCAGGGGTCGATTTACTTCTATCCCATAAAATGGGTGCGAAATTGGGTGTTTACGCTACCAGAGGTGTTGTTGGTGGGCGTGTTGCGCGTGCCCTTTCATCAATGATTGTGATGTGGTGCTCCCCTCGGGTAGATGCCCGCCCTGTCGGCCCTCCCCTTTGCACACACCTGAGACCGCCATATTTAAAAGAGAGTTTTGCTCGTTCGGTCGCCATTCACCATGTATGAAAATCAAGCTTGAAATGTGGAAATTGGAAGTATTAGTTCGTGGAAGGGGATACACACATATTACTTACAAAGTAGAAGAAAAAGACTCGGTGAGCCATTACATCATTCTGAAGTTCCAATATTGTAATACTGAATAGACAATCTGTTGCAAGATTTTTTGTTTTTGGCATTTCAAAAATATATGTTCAAAAATAATGTTCTCTGCCTTTACTAAATTGAGCCAGCTTTACTTACTGGTTTGTACCTGAATTTTAGGCACTGGATTTAAAAAAGCAAAATCAGCCATCGTAGTATGTTTCAGGTATGATAAATCACACAGAGCATGCGAATTGAATCTATTCGCGCAGGGGTGCCCATTACGTCGATCGCGATCGACCGGTAGATTGCGGACTGGTCCCAAGTCGATTGCGAGGGGTGTAGAGGAGAAAAAAACCAAACAACCATTTGTGTGTCTTTGTGCATGTTAGTAATATATTTTTTGTGTTAATGTACACTGCACCCTAATCATCCTATCAGTCTCATTTTCACAACAAGTATTAAAAAAATAAAATAAAATAGAGCAAGTAAATCTTTAACTTCCAGTGGCGCGTGACCTGCGTCACCGGAAGTTATTAGCGCTCAGCAGTCTGCAATTGCAGCTTGTGATCGGAGCTGTTGCGCTATATCTTTTATAGTTATCATTATTCTCATTCAGAGTTTGTTTCGTGTACAATTCACCGAGGGCACAGGCAACGAACAGGAATCTCGAGGGCTGAGGGAAGCACTTTAAAACGGTACGCGTGAGCTACGATATTTAACAGGTTGCAAAAGTGCATCGCATGCCTCGGTGTCAGGCTGTTGCTCATCATGACGTGCGTGTGTATGTGCGAGCGCGGTAACGGGTCGATCGCGGGAGGTTGGTTGATCGAAAAGTCGATCTTCGGTCCAAAGAGTTTGGGCACCCCTGTATTAGCGTATGCTTCTCCCAAAATACAATTTTTGCGTGTTTGGCAGAATCTATGCCGGGCGGTTAGTAGATCAGCTTCCACATTTGTCTGCGTGAGCAATCAAGTTTGCACTCATTTTTGCACGCCCAAAATGTCAGTCAGTCAGGTCGTGAAAAGAGATGGATTCAGCCACAAAAAGCATGACGCAATCTGTTTCCTGAATAATTGAATCAGTACATCAAATGAAATACATTTGGTGTGTTAATTATCATATAATGGAAAAAGAGATGGATTCAGCCACAAAAAGCATGACGCAGAGGAAACAGAGGGGTCGTCATTACACTTCCATTGCTTAAAAAAAGCAGAGAGGTTCAATGGTTCAATTAGCATTAGATTCAATGGTTCACTCATCAAACAATGACTAAAACGGTGTGAATGAGTCTCCTTTGCCTTAAATTCCAAGTTTTCAAACTGCAATTTCCTACAGAGACGTTCTCACTTGAGATTACAAAATACAAATCAAGCAGTAAAACGCAGACATGGAGTGAAATTGCTGTGGTTTACTCAATAATTTTAAAAATCAAGATGTGCATGTTTGTGTTGGTTGTGGTTTTATGTCCCACCCAAAGATATGACTTTCTATATAATGAATGACTCCACACTCGAGTCATACCACTCCTGAAAAATTCCATCCAATTTCCAACTTTGAAATCCCTTATCAACTCTCACACAAGCACGGAAAAAAAAATAAAATTCTGACATCTTAATCCCAAATGCTGCACACCATGCACGGAACTGACATCATGTTGTATCACACCCCGTAGACTCACCCAAATTGAAATAGATGTAAGAACCTTTTAATCCATTTCCCAGTTTCATCACATCCATCGTGCAGACACACGCCCACTAACACCTGAGGAAAGCAACCAATCAAATTCGTCCATGGCCCATCGAGGATTCTTCAGCATTGGTCTTTTCTCTCAACCTAATCGGACTGGGATTGTCTTGGTGTAAACAAAAACTTTCATCCTCTTGCTTCTCCTAATCCCATCGTGGAGATTAAACTGGAAGGTTGTTTAAAAAGATCGTGGCATGGAGGATTTGTAACGTATCCCAGCGGGGATTCAGAAATACACACTGGTGGCTGAGAACGAATACAGTCGGTAAGGGATGGAAAGCTAAATTCAGTCAAGGGGGATTGAACCTACTCACCTATATCGCTTTCTTTGTGGTTCTTGATCAGCTCAGCAAGATCAAAGTTCCCAGCAATAATTGCAACCTGAAGAGAGAAACGGAACAGCTCTAATATAAAATGAATACAATGTCATAAACAATCACCAAAACTGCTCTGCAATCACTTGACAGCTCAACTTGAGAAGGTTGCATTCATTTTCACCAACAGCTGGGTATTACACACATGTCAACAGATTTAACAAGAAATGAAGGAGCTGTGCGTATTCCACGTAATCTCTGTCACGTTGCCAATCATTGAAGTTGAATGCAATAAAATTAAAGTATTCTTTCCCCCTCCTTCAGTGTAAGAGTCAGGGATTCCTCTGACTTCTAATCTTCATGGTTTTAACCATCTGTGGCCAGGAATCTGATAATCTGTGACACACACACACACACACGCACACACACACACACACAGACATGAAGATACGCACATGATACTGTGTGCAGTCTTCATGAACATGCAAGTCACATGTTAGATACGCACGATACTGTGTGCAGTCTTCATGAACATGCAAGTCACATGTTTATATTTGTGTGGGAGTGTGTGTGTGTGTGTGTGCGCGCGCGCGCGCGCGCGGGGGTGGGGGGGTGGTCTGCTTTTCAGCTTTCTGTTGCCTCATCACAACAGATGACTGGCATTGCTTTTACAACTATTGTCACCGAAGTAGAAAGCAACAGGCAATATTAACCGTTTGTGTTCTGGGTATTATGAAAAGTACCACAGGGCTTTTTTTCAATCATCTTTAGTTACTTCAAAATCAAAACATGTTCTGAGATAACTATCGAAAACAACAGGTGTTGTAAGTAACGGATGGTTTCCTTGATTAGTAAATGATATTGGCTAAGTTAAAGTGGATGGTGTGAGATACTGCATATGTTTTGTTTCTGTCCACTAGAGGACAGTAAAGGTATTTTTCTCTTTCTTGGACGGCTGGAGAGGTTTTTCCTCTCAATGACCCACATCTCCTGTTGACATGCACCTGGTGCTTACGGTGGCTTCAGCAGGCACATTGATATGGGACGTTACAGGACCTTTCATATCCACTGATGTGGCGTACACAGTGTTCATGGGCGCGCACACACGCACACACACACACGCACGCACGCACGCACGCACGCACGCACGCACGCACGCACGCACACACACACACACACACACACACACACACACACACACACCTCAAGGGAGACCCAGCAGCATTATATAAGCATGCATGTTCTCAATTCTGCAGAATATATCAGGAAGGAGAGAGCGATGGAGAGCAAGTGAATAATAAATCTGCAGTACGATGCCCCCTTCCTCCACATTTGACCTTTTCTTCGAAAAACATTGAATTTCTCAGAACAGGCACTTGGGGGTGTGGGGGGGGGTCTCTTTTGATTACTGTATACAAGTAGGGAACTTCATTTTATGGAATATAATTTATAGCTGAAATCGCCTAGTCAATACAAAGGCATAGTTTAAAGTGAAATGACAGTTCATTGTGCAAAGTATATCAAGTCCCTATTTAGACAATTAAATGACTCCTGGGGGGTTGACAGGGAAGGGTCATGTCTTTCTATGTGAATGTTGGCTGCATTGCCAATACGCGTCTTCCATTTTTACATTGTGTGGGCATGCGTGACAAAACACTGACAGGCTCTTCTCGAGGGAATGCACGATGGCCGCGCACGCTCGGTGGAGGGACAAGAGTAACACATCGGGATGAAGTGACGTAGTGATACATGAATTCGTCAACTTAACTTTGACCTAATTCTTGATTTAATGATGACTCCAAGTGTGTGAAACGTGAAGCAACATCTCACTGGACTGGTCAATACCTGATAAGCAGCCCCGCCTGGATGACCGAGTTTTTCCACCCTCTCTCTTGGCCTGTCAATACTGAATATTTTTAGAATTAATTGTTCTTTGAATTATTCTCTTGATTACACTGGAGAACAATGTGAAAAACATTTTCTGTTGAGTGAGATTTTTTTTTTCTAGTACGTCAAGTTTTTTTTCTCCTCAGGTTTACCCTTCAGATTGGCAAAATTCCACTGATCAGCTCTTGTAAGATTACACTAAGAAGAGTTGATTATGTTTGGACTCATCTACAGCTACGTGGCAACTTGTTCCTGCAGTCACAATTGAGACAGTGCGGAGAGTGGTGTGAGCAGTTCCCGGTTGGTCAGTACTATCAATACCTGCAATAGAAAGCTAACATGAATAGGAATTAAGAGGATGAGCGCTGGCTTTACTCTTAACCTTGACTGCGTGGGCGTACTGTTGTAAGATCTATTTCATTTTATGCTTTTTTTTGTAGTTTTCAAAGCTTTTATTTTTCCTTTAAATTCTGATAGGCCCTTGACCTCTGGAAGCCCCTGGGCTGCAGTCCAAGTCAGCCTGTTGGTGAAGGCGGCCCTGTGTGCAGGCTTTCCCTGTCAGATAGGTTGAGAAACTCAGTCATTTGGGAAGGGCTCAGCGTTGAGCCGCTGCTCCTCCAGGAGGAGCCAGTAATGGAAGCGACTTGGACTTTGCACCATCTTTGCTACCTCAGATGAGGGGAAGGAAATGGATGGGTGCTGAAAATTACTGCAGCCTAAAATCTAACAATTTTTAACATAACATTCTGTAGTCTTTTTATTATAATTTTTGTTGTTGTACAAGATATACACGTTAAATATTTTAAATATTTTATAAAAAGCATTCCATTTTCCCAAAAGCCGAGAGTGTGCCCTATAATCTGATGCGCCTATTATATTGTGTCACAGTCTCTTTATATTCCCTGTTGAATTGCTTCCCTGTTAGTGTGCTCCTACGCCATCTAGTGGTGCTTATTAGCAGGACCCAATTGTAACCTAAAAGGTTCTGCCCGACACTAATTAATACGTGCATTCGCCAACCCACAACTCAAACGGAGAACTACTTTGTGACCTCTGTGCAGCCATAATGAAATGAAGATAATACCACAAGTATCGTTAACTACTGACTAAACAAAGGAAGAAGGAGACAAGCAAGACTTATACAACATTTTAGCGCCTTATGGATGTGAGCCCACGAGATTTGTATGCCTTATTGTTGAATCACGTCTTCATCACTTTTGTCTTTCATTTATTGTACTGTATTTATGTTTCATGTTCGTGTTTGTAACCAGTTCTCATGTCTTTGTTACAGCTGCAGCGTTGTGAAGTTTCTTGAAAATAAAGCTGTACTGTGTTGTATTGCACAGTATTCCCTTTGGCGTAGCTCCATCTGGTGGATCCATAACACAACCACAGCCGTTATTGTAGCTTCTATTCTATGCACCTTATAATGCAGTGCACCTTATATATTAAAACAGTTTTAAAATAGGCCATTCGTTGAAGGTATGCTTTGTCATCTGAGGCGCCTTATGTTGCAGAAAATATGGTATTTGAAGGACAATAGTCTAGGCAGCAGGTTGAAGTGGACTTTTTAATTGTATGTTGCATCACTGAAGTTGCTGCCCATCCATCACATATGAAGTTTCATAACAAAGTATTGTTTTTTTGGGGGGTTTTGTTTTTTTTTTTGTGAGCTGCCTTATAAAACATGTCTGTCGATGTGTTTGGTTATGTGCCTGCTGTATGTGTTAAATGCATACATCGAAAGCTCGACACACTAATTCTAGTGTAATTAGGTGGCTGGCTGATAAGGAGTGAAAATGCAGCTGAAGCTTTTGCTTTCTTTTGAGGGGCTTGGCTGAGCTTCACACTCCCTTTTTTGTTTTAAAGTAAAAGGCAGATGCTGAAATCATCTCAGGTATGAGCCCAAGCAGGATGCATACACAAGCTCCACCCCTGGTCAATCCAGTCACATTAGCATCCCCCCAACAGTGGGAGTGGAGTGATCTGTGGCTCACTTTCATTTTGCATGAGACAAGGCAAGACAAGTGCCCTGTAATATTTTAGCCTTATTACAGGCCAAAGTATGTCACAAATGTGTTTAAGACACCTGAAAATTGTATTATTTTATGGGGGGGGAAATGGCACAATATAGAACCTTTATATTCCATGTAGGGTAATTATAAATGATGACGCATGACAAAAACAAGATTAAAAAAATCATCTACAAAAGCAACGGGAAACACAGTCACAATGTATTCTTCATTATCATCGCACCACCCACCATCAGCACCACTACTGCCAACACCATCATCACCGCCCTCACATTGATTCTTTTCTTGTTCCAGCTGGTTGCCATGGAGACATATGATTGTGTATAACCGAAGTAAATGTTGTATTGGGGGAGGGAAGGAGGAGCAGGACGAGAGTGGGGCACTTGCAGCTGAGTTGAACACCGGAAATGGGTCTGCTCAACCTGGGAGCTGGGAGCATTCCCGCTCACAGGAACCAATCAAGAGTCCAAACGGGGAATAAGCACCTGATGGTATAATTAATCAATTATGGCAATTAACATGCAGGGGGGTTCCTTTGAATTCCAACCATGAGATGGTAAATCACGACTTGAAAGGTACCACCCGTCCTTACGCATTTCAAATAAGAAGTCAACTTTTGTTTGTCTTGCACAATATACAATAGAGTTAAAGATGGCTGCTAAATGTTGGGATAAAAAGATTTTGGTTCAGGTTTCTCATTCTCTTTCTTATTCAGTTCAGACAGTTCTCATTTTGCCGTTATACACAGCACAACAGATTGGAAATCGAAAAAATTGTGACTTTTAGAATTTCAGCGTTCAACACCCCAAAAAAAGCCGATCCTACTTAGGAATCAATTATTAATCATTAATATCTGAAATCTTAACAAGAATCAATCATTTTTAAAATTATTTCTTTTCAATCGTCCCTGACACACTGGCCGTCAAAGCCGTCTTTTTCCACCTTTTTGATAGCTCTCTGTCCATTGTACAAGGTAAAGATGCGGACATGTGGGATTCAAGCTGATCGTGGAATGCAGAATGATAGTTGGAATGCTGCCATCCAAGACCAGATTGTGATGTTTAACACCTGAGATTCAATGCCCATGTGCAAAAAGCAATTATTGCTGGTATGCTGATGTCGGTTCACAATTGACCATCGGCAATGG